ACTATGAGGTTTACAAAATTTAATGTCTATCGCAAAATCAAGAATGTCTATCTGCTGATAAGTTTCGAAGAGTATTTAATGACGATTTTAGTATTAAATTTAAATCACCTACGTGCCACATATGTGATTCAATTTATGTTAGTATGAAAAAGGCTACAATACAAAGAAATGACGAACAAATTCAAGCGTTAAAATTAAAGCAAGAACTGCATCATAGGAAGGCTAAAGCTGGACAAGACGCGATAAAAAATGCAACAAAAATAGCACAAGAGAGCAACGAAACATATGCAATAACATTTGACCTTCAACAAGCACTTCCAACCCCCAAATTGTCTGCTGGTCCTACATTTTATAAAAAGAAACTTTTTTCTTACAATCTGGGTATACACTCGTTATATCTCACACAGGGATACTTTTATTTGTAGGACGAGTCAACCGCTGCTAAAGGTGAAGACGATATCGGAAGCTGTCTGCTTAAACACTTCCAGATGCACAATATTAAAGCACATACGTTAGTAGCTATCTCTGATAACTGCATCGGCCAAAATAAGAACTGATCTTTGGTTGGAGTGTGGCTTCATTTACTAGCTCTGGGAAATTTATAGAAATTATACATATTTTTCCACAGATCGGACATACAATGTTACCATCGGACAGAGATGTTGCTGTTGTAGAAAAATACGTACGAACTCATTGTCTATATGTATATTCTCCATCTGAGTGGGAAACCATACTAAAAACATGCCAAAAGAAAAATCCATCATCGTTTACAAGATGAATCAAGAAATTTTTTTAAAAGTGTCTGAAATGAGTAACTATTTTGTACAACCCAAGTCTACACTGGCTAATCCATGTAGTATTAGAAATGCTGTAAGAATGCGCTAGTCTACTGAGAACTTTGAACAAATCGAAATCGCTGATACATACAATGGTGAGTTTAATTCATACTCAATTCAAAAAAGAGGAAGAACTGGGATCTTATAAGAACATATTATTCGAGATCTTCAGAAAAAATATGCTACACGGCTTGGTATTAAACCTAGTAAACTTGAACATGTACTTTCGTGTTTGGATTGGATTCCTAACGTTCATCACGAGTTTTACAGGTCATTATTTACAAAGTCCCTGTAGTTTTTTAATTTCTATCAATGTTTCTTGTGTTTATTTCTAATACCACTGTTTAGTATATTTGTTTTATTTTTGTATCCTATGTGCAATTCAATAAACGTAAAAAATGGTATCTACAGTGTTTTTTGTTCAAAGTATCGTTTTACTCGTAAATTTAAAATTTACGCGTTTTCAGCGGTGAAGTTAAAATACGCTAGTTAGAAGATCAACAAGTATACATCTGAAAATACTGCTATGACAAATGTCATTGCAACAGAGCAATCAATTGGTAAACTTTTAAGTTCAATTTCTGAACATTCGTAGAAATGTGACTTACCATTATCTTCACCCGAGCCCTTCAATTGCTCATGTGTTATTTGCAGGATTTTTGAATTTCTAAGATCATCCAGTTGATAAGGTTTTATTTGTATACGACGTTTCTGAGATGTTTACTCAAAATGTTTTCTAATGGTGGAAGATTTTGCTGCTTTACAACATTTATTTTAATTAATTTTGAAAATCTATGCTGTAGTGTGCATTATTCTAAGACCAAATGTCAAAGAAATTGTTACCAAAAATATTTTTTACTGTAGGAGTTATTTACTTATTTTCACAACAAATCTAATTTTCATGTAGGTATAGTAACCAATAGTAGTGTTACGTTAAATTTTATTGACCTTTGCCTTCTATGTTCCCGTATTCATCTGGGGTTTGTATCACTTTAATATTTGCAGTGACGACGATTACCATTTATCATGAACGTGGCTTATTAGGCAAATTACAATCTAATTTGTAACGTGGGGTTCCTTATCTATTACAATTGTAGAAAATTTTATTCTGTTATCAAAACTTCAGCCGATAATTTTAAGCACCAATCTATAAAAATATTTATTTTTCCTGTGTATAAGAGAAGATATGTATGATAAATATCAAAAAATATGTTTTAAACTAGGTATGTGCCTATTTACGACAGAATGATACTTCTTCAGATTAACAGCAGCCCATTTAAATATAATATCTTGTAAGTGCATATTAGAATAAAGTACGACAAAGAAGTTGTCTTTTACAAACTTAGTACAAATATTATAATCAATGACTTGAGCCCAAAAATATAAAAAGAAAATATACATGACTGGAGTGGTAAATTTTGTCATGATTCTGAAGAAATGCCGTATGATTTTTGTCGAAATGTGACAAAGTTGTAACAAATACCTAGTATCAATTGCCAAAAAGAGAACTATATACCTGAAAAGCACCAAGGTGTATAATGGCCAAAGGTATAAGATATATGATACACCGAGACCCAAGCCCCTATCGTTAGCCGTTTTGCTCATCCATAGGTCGATGCAATACACCAGCGTATTCTAGTCTAAGTAGCAGATCTATTAGATTTTTAAACTACTACGATTGCCTTTTGTTTTCTGGCCAGGGTCCGAATCATCGACCACTAGATCATTCACAGTACAGTGAATTCGATTCGTTTGCCTGGTCCGCTTGTCTATTTAGCAACTAATACATCTATAGTTCAGAACTAAAACTTTAAAATGATAATAATCATGTGAACAAGAATTTTAACCCGGCAAATGTATTGTGGGGTAAAAATTACCCACGTCGTTCATTAGCGCTTGTTAAAATAGTGGCAACATCGCCAGATTCATCTGGCGCCACGAGTACCTTCCCATAATATAACAGATCTTGTATTGCATCATAAATTTCAGTATATAAATAAGATTTGAAAGAGTGGTGTCGCGTTCTTTGGACTATTGGGTGATTTTAACCCCACCACACAGTTGAAGTGCAGTAATATTTAGTTTTTGGGAAATTTTAACCCCACAACACCGGTTAATTATTAACAGGTAAGTTCTTATACTAGCACAATTCATCTTTATTTTTTTAACAGAAACATAATTTAATTGGTAGGAATATTGAAAATTGATTAGATATTTTTAATTTCAGACATATAGAAATATGTGTAGTTGGGAGAAAGAATAAAAAGCTCTCTTGAAGCTTTGGCAGGATGAATTAACTGGATCAGAGTTAGGATCAGAAAGCGAATCTGAACATGAAAGTCAGCAGGTTAGCTCAGTGAGGATGTTTTAGAAAACCAACTTCAATCAGTGGAAAATTGTCAGCCTGGAAGTTCTAATCAGAAAAATCAATCATCGTCGGAAGATCCTTTTTAAGACAACAATAAGTTTGAAGATAATATTTTTATAATGATAAAGTTTTTATCGGACGGGATGGGAAAACAAAATGGGCAAAGAACTGTCCTAATAACTCGGTTAGAACACGACAAGAAAATATAATAACTTTACTTCCCGGTGTTCGAAATAATGCAAAATATTGCAAGTCGCCCATTTCTTGTTGTGAATTATTCAAAGATAATATTATTGTGAAAGATATTGTCTAGTACACTAATAAAAAAATCAGTTTAGTTGCTCAGAATTATAATGACCAACATAAATATATCACCAAGTCTACGGACGCAGAAGAAATTCGTGCAGTTTTCGAATTATTATATCTATCAGGCGTTTGTAAAGCCAATAGGTTAAATCTGGAGGATCTGTGGGCTACAAATGGAACAGGAATTGACTTTTCAGGCTAACGATGTCCCTATAAAGATTTATATTACTTTTAAAATGCCTACGATTCGATAATATCGAAAATAGAGAAGAACGAAAAAGAGCAGATAAACTGGCAGCTATACGAGCTGTTTTTGTTCGATTTGTATCCAATTGTCAACAATATTTTATTCCTAGTCGATACCTGACGATCGATGAAAAATTAGAATCTTTTCGAGGACGTTGTTCCTTTCGGCAATATATCCCCAATAATTCGTTCAAATATGGAATTAAAATATTTGCCTTAGTGGATGCCAAACATTCTACATTTTAAATTTAGAGGTATATGTTGGCTCAGAGCCTGAAAGACCTTTTCAGTTTAGTAATAGACCGTTTGATGTAGTAAACAGGCTTGTAAATCCACTCCGAGGTACTAACCGCAACATTACATTCGACAACTGGTTTACCAGCATACCGCTAATGGAACATTTGCTTAATGAACATCGGATAACATCTGTTGGAACTATTCGTAAAAACAAGAGGGAAATACCGACAATCTTTTTGAGTTCCAAAAACAGCTAAAAACCACGCAATTTTCGGATTTAAAAAAGACATTTCTTTGGTGTCCTTTGTCCCGAAGCAAAATAAAATAGTATTAGTAGCGTCTTAAATAAAATATAGCCATAATTTAAAATCTTAAGGTTTCATGTAAAAATAAAATATTTTCTCAATTCTATAAATAAAAAAAAATGGGGTGATGATTACCCCATCACACAGCTCCAGTCAGAAAATTTCACCACACAGTCGCCGGGTTACTACGTATGAAGTAAACTAAAATTAAAGAAAACGAAAATACTAAATACTGTCAAACAAATATAAGATCTGAAAAGAAACCGTGAACGACGTCTAAAATATTGTAGTTTATGAAAACACAAAGAAAAGCTAAAAACAACTTTGACACGTATTAGTAGAAGAAGCGAACTTAGGACCAGTGTACGCAAAAAAGATTTGCACCAGTGAGATTTTCGTCTACGAAAATTGTTTTTAGGGGGAAGTCCAGGAGTAGGAGTGGCGAAGTTTTTTGCTTTACTATATGTAACTTTTTTTATATCTTTTTTGATTTTGAAATATTTCTTGGTAAATTTTGTCATTATATAATATTTTTAAAATATTTATTACACTACGGTATGATAATTAAGTTTGTACATACGATATTTAAATATTTTTAAATTCTTATATCTACATATATTTTAACACAGTAAGTTATATCTAATAGAAACTAAAGATAATTATACCATTTTTATAAAAAATAAATAATGTTTAAATAAATACCTTATATTATCCTTGGAAAAGGGAGATTCTCTGGAAGCTGATATAGACATTGTTGATGAAATAATGGATATTGACGGAGAAACATTCGGCGATTCTTTGTTTTTGTATGGATATTTCCATGGACTTGGCTCCAAACGAAATTCTTGGTTGGCTTTAGACAAGTTACCTTTATTTTCATTCCCATCATCCCGATTTTTATAGCTCAGTCTCCTAAAGTACAACATATTATAAATAATTTAAATCAATAAAATGTATTTATCATATATTAAATAAATACTAAATTAGTGTCATATTAGAGTTCTTTCTAGTGTCTACCCCAAGTATTAAAAAAAGTGTTCCACGTGCGGAGTAACATTATATTTCACTTATATTGGGCTGACAACATCGTGCTGGTCGTGATGCTGATAGAAAGTATTGATGAGATAGAAAATTTTTGTCTATAATAATATTAAAAGGCTTCTCCAAAATAAATAAAAATATATGAGAAAGAGTAAAAGAAAATAAACGAAAGATAAATAAAAGATTGTAGAAGTTGTAAGAATGAAAGACAGGATAATGCCAGTAAACTATGTACTTGACAGAGAAATGCTAAATTTAGGGTGTGTATGAGACTGAGATCAGATTGGCAAAAATCGACAGTTCTATATGATCCATATTATATATACTTACAGAAATAAGTTATAATGCGTAAACGAAGAATAATAGCAAGCGGATTTAGGAACAAAATTAGCTCCAAATATTTTAGTTTCTAACCAAACATAAAAAGGTAAACAAACTCAGTTTGCTTGTGCTGAATATTGAAGATGCAAAACAAAATCAAAATATTGCAGAGTAAGATTACTGATTTAATGGATGATACTAAAAGGCGAGAAAGAAATGTTTAAATGGTCAATATCAATGAGGCAGATAAAATTGAATAATTATCAGAAGACATTATTTGGACATCATTAATGAGAAGGCAACCAGAATATAGCCGCAAATGTCAATTATGGAACAAAATATTTGAGTTTATCAGTGTTGCGATGTACATATAATCGATCGGAAAAGAGCATGTGATATATGAATTAATTAAACATGGTAAACAAACGTAAAGTGGTAAAATAATAAAAAAAAAATATTACTTTAGACATAATAATATTTTTTAGCATATAACAAATTAGATAAATTTACATGTACAGTTGCGGTCACGGAATAGTTTACAGGTTCACGTATCTAGGAGCCCATTTTTTAAATTTTTACTTCGTTTAAACGCACCTTTTACGTCAAAGTGACGTTGCCAGTGGTGTACTAGCTAGAATAGGTAGATTAAAATTAAAATATCAAAATATTTTACAAAATGAAAAATATAGAAAACAGTTTTTTGAATAAAATGGATTATGATCTTAATAACGAAAATAAAGAAGTCTTTTTTTTTAATATGCATTTTATTTTAAATCTATTTTATATTAAATAACGATAAACAGTGATAAATAATAATTAATATTTGGTGGATTATTAAGATATTGCATTGACGTTTTGAAATTTTTTGACTTTGACATTTATCAAATCCGTACGACACTGCAATTTTACAGTATTACAATATAAAAAGTAAGGTGTAAACTATTCCGTGACCGCAACTGTACATTGAAAAGCAATAAGGTAAATAGTTTTAAAACTTTTTTATATACATATACATTTAAAGGCAATAAAGTAAGTGGCCAAACACACTGCACAATTTTAAGTAAGTAACAGTAAGAATCATAACAGTAGGTAATCTTGCAGGGAAAAGTAGAAGGAAAACGGGGACCAAGAAGGCGAAGGATGTGAAGCTGAAAAATCTACGAACGTGGTTCAACACAACAACCACAAATCTTTTTAGAGCAGCAGTGTGCAAAGTGCAGATTGCCATGATGGTCGCCAACATCCGAAACGGATAGGCACTACAAAAAGAAGAAGAACAGTAAGAAAATAATAAAATTCAGGTACTTTCCTAAATGATGAAGGAATGGTCTTAAAACTTACATTTGGTGGACATCTGTTGCAATCTGGCAACTGGCGGTTTGAGGATGTCCAAATCAAATTGCCAAAAAATTTCTTATAATTAACTGCAATAATTAATCTCGAAAGAAACAAATACATGTTTGCTTGTTCTTGTTTTATATAATTGCAGAATTCATAAAATAATATTATTGCGGCTATATTCTGGTTGATTGCTTATTAATAATGTTCGACTTTCATTGTATTGTATTGTATTGTATTACCAAATATCAAAATATAATAATTTTTTTTGTTTGTATTAAAAATATGGTATTTTGAGAACGATTATGTGTCAGGCCATGAGTTCTCTGGATGTGTGTATTTTCACATTGTGGAACGACATACATCCTTAAAATTCATGCTATGGTATGCTGGACGAGCCATACAGCCTGTAGTCACTACCCCGAAGTATGAGCGGGAACACAATATTGTATAATACTCATACTCTCATGGTTGGCACCTAGCACATCATGAGGGCCTTCACATTTTACCTTACTTCAACTTGTCTTGGGTAAAATGACTTTAATCTGTTCTATCGGTCTCCCTTGACCACCTCTTGCTTTTTCCGACCCCGAATGGCGATTAGGTTTCCGAAGGCAGACGGGTCACTATTTTCAAATCTTTACTCTATTCTAAGACCGAGAGATTGCCGGTATAAGCAATCCCCCACTTACTGACCAACGGCTTAGGGCGGATGAGTTGGTAAGTGGCAGGGCACTCTTTTGTCCTGGGGTTGAGAAATCGGCCCCGAAGGCGGATGAATCAACAAATAATGGTCAACGGCATAAGGATGTAGAAGGCAAGGGAAAACCACTACATTAAAGATCCCAAAGGATATCTCAAAAAAAATCACAAAATGAAGAATCAAAACGAAACGGCCCCGAGTGCCTGGCGTCTCTTAAATGGGACAGTAGTGCGAAGAATCTCCAGGAGGAAAAACAAAATAAATAATATAAATCATATTGCAACGTGGAATGTACGAACATTATATAAAACTGGACAACTTGCAACAGTATCACTAGAAATGAGCAGACTTAAAATAGGTATACTTGGCCTTAGCGAAGTAAGATGGCCCAGTGCTGGACAGTGTTATCACAACGACATTGTTCTTTATTACTCGGGCATCAGTACTGGTGATCACAAAAATGGTGTAGGAATCATAATAAAAAAAGCACTATAATGAAAAAAGCACCCTATAATGAAAGAATAATAATGTTACAGTTAAAAACCCACCCAATAAACATAAACATAATTTAAATTTATGCTTCAACATCAAGCAGCACCGATAATGACATAGATGTATTCTATTCAGATTTAGAACAACTAACGAAAAACATAAAAAAACATGAAATCAACATAATAATGGGCGACTTTAACGCCAAAGTCGGTAAAGGGAAAGTAGAAGATATCGTAGGGAATTATGGTCTAGGAATTAGAAATGAAAGAGGAGACCAATTAGTACAATATTGTCAAGAGAAAGAACTAGTCATCACAAACACCTTTTATCAATTACCACTAAGAAGACTCTATACTTGGAGTGCACCAGGAGACAACAATAATAATCTGATAAGAAACCAAATCGATTATATTCTTGTCAACAAAAGATTTAGAAATTGAATTAAAAGCGTTAAAACATATCCTAGTACTTCTTGCCAACGTTAATATGAAACTGAGAAAACAACAGAAAAAAAGTAAAATTCAGAGACTACATTTGTCAAAGCTTGAGGGTGAAAAATGTCAACAACAAATAAATGAAGCAGTTGCACCAGCATTCGCAGAGGCGTCAAAAAAAGATATTAATAGTGGCTGGAACGAAATAAAATCGGCAGTACTTAACGCTGGTAAAACGTTTGTGGGTAAAAAAGTACCAATTGCCAAAAAATACTGGATGACACCAGATAATATAAACCTCATAGAAGAAAAACGAAAATACAAAAATACAAATAAAGAGAAGTACAAGCAAATGAAGAAACTAGTAGAAACGCAGATTAAGGAAGCTAAAGAACACTGGATGGTAGAAAATTGTAGAGAAAGAGAAGAACTTAATATAAAACACGACACACATGGGCTACATAAGAAACTGAAAGAAATTACAGGAAATAATCGGAATAGAATACTACAAGTTATACGAAACTCCAAGAGGGATTTCCAATTATCAGCAGTAGAAAAACAACAAACTTGGGAGAAATACATCAAGGACGTATTCGCAGATAATAGGGAAGAAATAAATGATACATAACTAATAAAAATCTAAAAATTCTGACATCAGAGGTTAAACAGGCAATTAAAATCTCAAAAAGTGGTAAGGCTCCAGGTCCCGATGAAATTCCTGTAGAGATATTAAAAATCCTGAATGATGAAAATATAGAGTGTCTAACTTAATTATTTAATAAAATATACCACGATGGTCAAATCCCGAATGAATGGTTAAAATCTATCTTTTTACCCTTACCCAAGAAAAATAATCCTAAATCTTGCGATAAGTACCGATTAATTAGCCTTATGAGGCACACTTTAAAAATACTACTCAAAGTTATTCAGTAGCGTATATATAAAAAATGTGAAGAACAATTCGACAATACACAGTTTGGATTTAGATGTGGAATGGGAACAAGAGAGACACTGTGCGCAATGACAATACTATTACAAAAATGCAGGGAATATAATAAAAACGTATTCATATGTTATATAGATTTCCAAAAAGCTTTTGATAGAGTCCAACATGTTAAAATCATACATGCATTGAAACACATACACCTAGCTCCCAAGGATATTAATTTAATCAAATATCTGTACTACAATCAAACAGCGGTCGTACGGGTGGAAGATAGTGAGACAAACCAGGTGGTAATTCAAAGAGGAGCCAGACAGGGATGTGTGCTGTCGCCACAATTATTTAATGTGTACTCCCAACTAATATTTCAGGAGGCACTATGGGAAAGAAATGAAGGTGTAAGGATTGGGGGGAGCATCATTAATAACATAAGATTTGCAGACGATACCGCAATCACGGCAGAGAACATAGACGATTTACAAACTCTCCTGCAAATCATTAACAGAGAAAGCCAAAAGATGGGACTAACAATGAATATAAATAAAACCAAATACATGGTGATCTCAAAAAACCCTGTTGACAACATACAACTGACATTGGAGGGTAAACCCCTAGAGAGAATCTACAAATATAAATACCTCGGAGCAATTATAAACACACAGTTAGATCAAGAGCAGAAGATAAAGGTCAGAATAGAAATAGCTCGAAAAGGCTTTATAAAATACAAGTCAATGTTTACAAATAAGAAATTGGGTATGGCCATCAGAATGAGGTTCGTCGAATGTTATGTTTGGTCGCAACTAGTATATGGGGTAGAAACTTGGACTCTGAAAGCCCAATCTATAAAAAAATTGAAGGCATTCGAAAAGTGGCTATATAGGCGTATTTTAAAGATTTCTTGGACTGCAAAAGTCTCAAATGAGAAAGTGTTAAGACAAGTTGGACATGGCAGAATGCTTATGAACACAATTAAAATAAGAAAAACAACGTATCTGGGCCACATACTCCGAAACGATAAATACTCTCTGCTACAAGTCATCATGCAAGGTAGAGTAGAGGGAAGAAAACGCTTGGGAAGAAAGAAGAAATCGTGGCTGAGGAATATGAGAGATTGGATTAACCTCAGTGTTGAACAGATATTTCACGTTGCAAAAGATCGAGAAGCGTTAAAAGAAGTGATCGCCAACCTTCGTTAGAAGACGGCACAAGAAGAAGAAAATGAGAATGATTTACGGACGTTGAAATCAAGTGGTCAAAATAAACGGATTTTAAACGGAAATTCCAATTAAAGATTATAAATTTTAATAAAATTCCACAAGTAAATTGCTGCGAAACAACAATTTGGAATAATATACTGTTATGATTCGGAAATGTACATGGTTATAATATAAATGGTTTTCTGAAAATACAGAGAAGAGGAAAATTGACAAAAGTGTAGCTTATAAAAGATTTAAAATATTAGATAGAATTGTTAAAAAATGTATAAAAACTGTTTTGTTTTAAAATCCAGAGTAAACTTGTTTCAAATTGTTTGTCAGGATCTATTGTTGGATGTGCATCGAAAAAAAAAAAAAAAAAAAATATATATATATATATATATATATATACATATATATATATATATATATATATATATATATATATATATATATATATATATATATATATATATATATATATATATTTGACTTATTTCGTAAAAAATGAGAATTTTGACTGATTCTTTGAAATACGAAAAGATCATTGGTTTAAAATGGAGAGGGGAGGAAAAGTTGTACGATGTAGATTAGATTAAATTATTTCAAATGTACTAAATTATTAATATCTAATAAATGTTTAAATTACAAATAGGTAAAGAAATAATTATTAATTAATTAATTATTAATTAATTATTTCTTTACCTATTTGAAATGGACTCACACAAGCAACAAATTCATGGTTTAAATTACAGTTCTGTCTGTTTTTCTCAATTCGAGTCTAGGTTTCCGTTTAAAATATGGCGATCGCGTGCTGACAAACTTCAAAGGCGGCATCTGAGAGTAGGCATTTTGATTGTTATTTATTCTGTGTATAAACCCTGAGATTACATTTAAACATTTGATTTAAAGTTTTAAGTTTAAAGTAGAGATTACATTTAAACATTGGCGTTTGTAATGGGGATCATTAAGATATATTTTGAATCCAATACTAATTAAATAGATTAATTGTTTGCTATGTCAAATTATTAAGTTATAAAATCAGTAACTGTATTTAAATTTAGATCACATTTCAAGATCATAATAATACATTTAAAAATAACCTTTAAAAAATATTCACAGTATCAAACCATACAATTATGAATTGACATTATGACTTGTGTCTGAATTGACAACCAGTATTAGCATCATGTAAATTACCTAACGTACTATAATTGCGTTATTTAACGTATTTATCGATGGTTTGACAGTATCGTAAGCCATTAAAATTAATTTAACCAACCTCAATATTCTCCCTATTGAATTGGGGGTTTCTAAGCTAGTATCGATCTTCTTTTTTTCGAAACGCTTTCCTCTACTATCCTCTATAATTATATGTCTATCAAATGGCGTATCGTAATCTACTTCTAATATTGTCGAGAAACTGTGTGGGTTTATTATTTCTACTGTGGTAATTATAACTCCAGCTAACAGACAGACACCCCCTAAAAGAAAAATGTGTTTTTTATATCTTAAAAAATACTTTTGCAACAACTAAAAAAACTTACAATTGTTAATAACATGTTATAGGTACTACAAGCAGATCTGACAGTCATTACAGTTACAATGTAAGTGAAGGGCAAAGCACGGCTGGAAGAAACGTACGTGGGTAAATATAGCAAGAGTACTCTTGCAATGGTAACGAATCCCTAAAAAATAAACAAACGGCATAGAAAACTTTTATTTATCACAAAGTGACAATATATTGTATCATCACCTTCCAATATACATTTTTTTCGGAAGTCGTTTGTTGTTATCTATAACCGGTCGTAATCAACCTTTTGGCTTATTGTACGTCTTTCATTCGTATAACCTTTTGACTTAGGTTTTAGTGTTAAAGATTACTTGGTACCCGGGACCGACGACTTATTGTGCCCTCCGAAGCACTGTGGCAGATCTCGTAATTAAAAAAATTTTGATGTCTACCAGGATTGACTCCGAGCCGTCCGTCTTATGTATACATATATTACCGAGATTCCTAAGAGAAAAATAGGGTTTCGACGAAGTCTCCCAAAGAAATTATATTTCTAGCTAGTGCTTTGATTTTAAGCCAAGATTTTTTCATTTCTTTCCCTTCATACAGTACTATTCTTTTCCAAATATTTTATATAATAACGTTATTTGGGTGACTACAGAGTATGTTGCCTATCCATCTCCATGTTTTTTATGAAATTTGCTTAATTGGTTGAGAAAGATTTTTAATTTCGTTTTAGTTGGGAAATCATGTCTTTCGATATATTAAACAGATTGTACGCACTACGAACCTTATAAATTATTCGCATCACTCTCTGTACCACTGTTAGTCAATTATGCTGCGCAGATATACAAATCACCCTTCTCTCTCAATTGCCTGGTTGTTGATCGCAATACGCTGTTTGTTCTGGTGGCAAATCGCATTTCTTTGGGCTACTTGATGTTTATTTCTGGACCAACCTTCTTTAATTCTTTTTGTAATCCGTTTATTTTTAGTCTTTAGTTTGGTCTTGAAGTCCAAAAAACATAAAAATAGTGGAGAGTTAAATTCCTGCGACTGCTCTACGATTACTCTAAGCATGTTAATTTGGTCTATGCATCATAGGTTTGATATAAAGTTGGCTTGTTCCTTTCTTAATATTGGTTCCACACTGTTTATTAATCGGTTTTTGATAATTATTGCTGTTAATTTATTTACGGCATTCAGAAGTGTGATAAGTCTCTAGTTTTCGCAATATCTCTTGATACTCTTTTTTGGTATCTTTACTATTCTGTTCGATTTCCCGTTTTCCTTTCGCCTGTCCCTTTGTAGGAGTAGTTTAATTACCTCTGTTGCTGTGGTTGACAAGCTTTTAACGAATCTGAAGAAATATGGTCAGGACCGGCAGCTTTGTGCGCTAGACAGTCACTGAAATACTTAAGCCATCTCTTAACTTGCCTGTTACAATGTTATATCTTCATCTGTATTAGTTATTAAAATTGGTTTGTGGGTGGCATATATGTTGTTGGGTAGAAGTTTAGTGATAGACGACATCATGCCGTCAGACTTATATATCTAGCATTAAGTCATTGAGCTATGGCCGCCATTTCCAACAGATTATTACTAACAGTAAAAATGTAGCGATTTCCGACTGAGGATCTTCATGCCACTTGGATAGTGACACTATAATGGTATGGTCACTCACAGTTCTGAAACTATTACTAAAAATTATCTATAACCAAATATATAGTAAATCTGATTAAGATATAAGGTCGTAGAAATTTGGCTTTAGAATTAGTCCAGGAACCAAAGAAGCATTGTATGGTTTTATCTTATTAATTAATTTAATGTACAGATTAGCAGAACGATATTTATTTATGCTTACTAACCACAAGAGAAAAATTTTAATAAGATAAAATACGACAAATTGATAAAAAAAATCAAGTAACATTAAAAGAATATAAAAGCTGTACTGGAATCAAGATGCGTTTATTAGAACAGACGCTGGTATTAGCCAAGTCATGAATATTCAAAGAAACATTACACAAAGTTGCCTTCTATACCTTCTGTTATTTAATTTACATAAAGAAACGAAGCTTTTGAAAGGCATACATGATGTACAAGAAGGTTTTTTTTATATCTTCTTTATTCGGCAATCTGTCAGTAATTTCTATAAGTATAATGACAATAGGTGTTTTTGATGGAAAGATATAACTTCTACAGGTTACTTCATTGCGATTTATAGTGTAGCAATTGGTAATTACGTAAGGTCACCTCTAACATTTACAATATTTGTTACGTAAAATACAAGTTTACATTATGTCCAGTTACTGAAACTTATTAACAAAGTCTGTTGATTTTAATTTTTCAATTTTCTTTATTCTTGCTGATCCTTTAACAACAGTTTGGCTAACCTATTAGGTTGCACATACACTCTGTAGCAATATTTTACACTATATTTACTTATTCCTTCCCTCACTGATGTAGTTGATATATCTCGTTGAATCATCCTTATTATCTTGTTTTGGAACCTCTGTATTATACTTATATTGCTATTAGAGGTGGCTCCCAGAGCTGGGTGACATAAATCTAGATTGATTTTAAAACGGCTTTGTACGGCAGTAGATTATTCTCTAGTAATAATTTTGAGTTTCTGCCAATGATTCTGTATAGACACTTGAATTTTGTGAATATATGTTTACCCCACGTTAGTCTCCTATCTACATCTCCAGCTTGAGGTAAATTGTTATTTAGTTATACTGATGAACAAGTCTATTTACGGAGTATAAATGTTCCATGAGTGGATTTTAGTTCATTCGCATTCATGCGCTATTTCGACAGATATTTCTGAGTCTTGTTAAGACAAGTTTGTAGTTGCATTGATGTCACTTTTCGAGTTTGATGTGAGAATAAAACAGCTGTATCGTCAGCAAACGTGGCTACTGTAATCTGTAGGGTAGTAGGGAGATCACTGGTATACAGCAGATATAGAAATAGTCCGAGTACGCTGCCTGGTGGTATTCGTGATTTAATGGAATTCCAGGGAAAATGTTAAGGAATAATAAGAATAATTTCCTAATTTTGTAGGAGAGTCCAGTATGTCAGGCCAGACCTTCACGAATGCTTGTGACATATTAATGAAGGCAACAGACCAGTATCGTTTTTGTTCGAAGTCATCATGAATCTTGTTTTGTGTACTTGATCTATGGTACGAATAAAACGCATAATTGTTTCTATAGATTTCAGCTTTTTTACGAATATTTTGTCAAACGGTTTGAAGATGATTGGAAGCAGACTAATCGGTCGATAGAAATTCATCTAAAATTCATCTAAATTTTTGCCTGGTTTGATATTTAAGTTGAAGATAGCATTCACGATACACAGACTACCGGTATGTTCTTGCGCATGAAAGGCGAACGCGTGACGTCATATGGGAACCTTATTTTCATTCGGCAATGCTAAATCAAGCGGTAATATTGTTTGAATTTTAAAATTATGTACCTATCATCGCTTTTTAAATAAGAAATTGTATTTTATATTCTTTTTACTGCCATTTTCCAATATGCATTTTATTTAAAAATGAATTTCCATTGAAAAATGAAGATTTTATCTTTTGTCCAATATACATTTACCACGATATATTAAAAAAATAAAACAAAATTGATATAAACATTCAATTTACTTTTGAGTCTGTAAAAATGTTTCACATAAAATTCACATAAAATTGTGCTTATTTACTGTTATTCTAAATTGTTGAAAAAAATTTGACTAAAAATAAAAACTTAAATTTGACTAATAATTCAAACTTTGTTGTCTTTTTCTATTTAACGTTTCTCTCTTTTTCCTTCTTCATATTTTCTTTGCATACTTTCTGAGTTTTTCATATGCCCTTCTAGAATTAGAATTAGTATCTATAATTAGATCATTTTTTAAAATTAGAAAATTTAGATATCTTGTTGTCAAGTGCTCTCTGGCAGTTTTTAAAGCTTATTTTTCTATATTATTGTCCCTCATTCTAATATATGTTCGTGTTCTGCACATACATAATATCACTTCAAATGGTATTGAGGTGTTGGGTAGTGACGCTAATGTTTTTTCAGCCAAACGTTGAAAAATCTTCTTTTCTTTATTTAAAAAATTACCATGCATTTGATGGAATTGATTTTCCATATTTTTGGCAACTTCCCACAATTCTTCATTGGGGTTTAACAGTGAACCTCTTAATAGGATCTCTAGCCACCTAGGGACTTCGGAAATATTTAAATTACTTGTGGCTATACCTAAATTTGGATATTTACTGTTAAATTTAAAAGCCACATATCCAGCTATATATCTTAGTGCCTCCATATTTACTCTCTCCTTAACTTCAAAATTGTCCAAAAGATTTATTAATTCATCTGAAGCTATTGCTTCCTCTTGTAAATATACAGGGTCCACAAAATAACTTGAGTTAGAAATAAGTTCTTCTTCCTCATTTTTTTCCTCCACTGTTTGGTTTCGTGGTAGAATTTTTGAGAGCATTTGATGTGTAAAACAAATCTCTTCGGTTTGTTTAGTTTCCTCCAATACATTTAGTAAACACGATTCACCAGTCTCAATCGTATTGCGATTTTCTGTGAAAATAGCAGCAGAGTTTTTCCCCAGAGTTTTAACTGTACTAACCATTTTTTAAATTAATTTTGTCTTCTCTCCGATAAGCATTTATCCACTCTTTTAATAAATCTTCATTTGCAGGAAATCTGTAGTATTTCACATCCGTACCTTTTATATTTTTGTTTGAATTTTTACAAGTAGCTACAGCACAGCCCGACGTTATAGTCTCGGTTTTAATAAACTACTAACTTAAGTTAAAAATTCACGGTATTGGATAAGTACTAATAAACAATAATGTGTAACTAAAATAATCCAGAATGACTTTAATAGTTACTTAACAGCTTAATATTTTAAAACCGCCTCAATTTAGTCACTTTCAACGCCAACAAATCGAAACTG